TGGCCTGCATGCCCGGGAAATCCTTTGCGCTGTAGACAACAAATATGTCGCTCATGATGGTTGACCGGATGGGAGCTTTCCTTGCCATGTGCGTCGGATCGACGACAACCAACACAAATTTGAGACGGAAGCTGCCCGGTGTGCGGACTGACATGTCGGGGAAACAGAAGAAACAGCCTTCGTTGCCGTTTTCGTCTTGGCCCACAAATGGCGATGATACCAGCGAGCCCATGATCCGCTTGCCTGGTCGCATCCCATCGTTGGGCATGTTGGTTTCGTCGGTTTCTCCGTCCACGTTCCAGATACTGCAGTGCACAACGTAGGCGGGGTGATGAATCTTGTTGTACAGCTCGTCAGGCGTGAGATCGGGGTTGTTTATCCGCAGCTGAACAATGGGCGGCGGATCAATGACTCTTCTGTCTCTTTCGCCGTAGCCGCAGCATCTGGCCGCCATGGGCTGTTGGCGGAAAAAGATTTCGTACTCGTTTCGCACCACCTTGACTTCTGGTTCCGGAACACGCTGGAGCATCCTCCGATCGTCGCTGCCGCCGCTCAAAAGATCCTCAATCTTGACTCTTTCATGCTGGCTCGTGGCACTCCACGGTGCTCCGGCCGTCGGGATCGTGGACCCAGACCGCACTGCGGGAATCCTCAGGCTGGGCGGCGTGAATGGAATGGCGACCTTTCCTCCGCCCTGGTAATTGTCGTTCAACACCCGCGGGGCACCCTGCGACATGTGCGGCATCTGTGGAGGCTGGTTACGCTTGAGATAATGTGCTTCTCTTGCCGCCTGGTACTCGTCATATGGCTCACTCTTAGTCGCGGACAATGTCGGTGATTCGCGTGGCGACTCCTGGGGATAGCGGGGCATGGGAGCTGCTCTGTACGGATCGGTAAGCTGTGTCGGTTGAGGCGGTGGCTGTTGGTAGTGTTGGTACTGCGGCGGCTGATGGTAGCTGGGCGAGGGGGGCTGGTGGTACTCGCGCTGATGCTGATAATCACTGCGGTAGTAGGGGGCTTGATGGTAGTCGTTTTGGTGATATTCGGGCTGCTGCTGTGCGACGGGCCTCGGTTGCGAGTTTGAGTGCATTGGAGGTGGCAGTCGCATTGGCTCGGGTTCGTAGGCGTAATGTCCGTCCATGGCTGGCCGTGGCGGGCCATACGACGAGGGCGAAGGCGCCCATGAGTTATGCCTTTGAGCCATGCTGGGTGCTTCAACTGGTTGATAGACTGTAGATTCCGCTATGTGAAGACGAAGAGTGGCGGAACGGCCAAGACGATTTGTGTAATTGCTCCTGAGAGTGAGCTGCCCTTATTAGCATCAATGCTCGTTCCGGCGCGAGGGCACCCTTCCACGTTCTCGGCTCGGGGGTGTGGCGGCCGGAGCGAACTCACTGTAGGTGGAGAAGTCTCAGATCCGTACTCAGCCCTTGGCCAAGTCAAGCGCTGGAGAGAGAGCGAGGCGTTCAGCTCCGGATGCGCTCAGTACGATCGGCGCGTGTCAGCTGGCCCGATTGTGAGTTGATTGAAGATTTTGAGAGAGAAGGAGAAAAAACGGCGTCGGATGGTGCAAGTCAGACCACGCCCATTGAAAGCTCTCTCGCGAAGAAACAAAAGGATGAGAGGTGCTGGATGCTGGAGATGAACCGAGAGACGGGCGGTAGCAGAGAGGGGCTCTTTTGTCCGCTGTCTTGCCCAATGGCGCTTCGCTGCTTGGCGGACGAACGTGGGCAAACGTCTCTACACAGGGCTCGTAACAGAACAGAGACACCTCGTTCCCTTTCCTTTTTCGCTGTCCAGACCACTGGTCGAAGGCGCGCGGTTGAGACACGGTCTAATCGTTATCAGCGACAAACAAGTGCGGGCTGTTGCTCGATGGATCGGAGCGGCTAGGTGTGTCGGCGTGAATAGAGATGACGAGAGTCGAGCCGGGGAGATCCTTGTCCAAGTTGGCACCAGCGAAATCTAGTCTGATGGGAGCACCCAGAACCCGGGAGGAACGATCAGCGGGACAATTGAGGTTCGAGACAGAATGGCGTCGACTATGTTGTCGTTTGGCATGCAAGACGGATGAATGTTGATGTGTGAGTAGACGTTGGCGGTCGGATCAGGCCAGTGTCGGATGGGCGTGGGCGTGGGAGGGTGTGCGGTGTTGGGAGTGCGACCAGAGCGAGGCACAGGTATGGTGAAGGGAAGAAGAGGGCAAGACGACGGTGGGCGGTGGGGGGTTGTTGGCAGGTATGTATATGAAGCTGCGGACAAGTCAACAGGGCCAATCCGCGGCTGCAGGAATCGATTTTGCGGTGCCAGAGAAGGAGTGGAGGACGGAGACGAGAGACTGCACAGTATCTGCACACTGCTAGGATGGGTCTTGGTTCCCTGTCCGCTCTGTCCGTCTGTTGAAGTGCACCGCTGCAAAGGTACGATGGTTTCTGGCTCAGGAGGAGAGGCGAAGAAGGAAGAGAGAGGAGAGGGAGAGGAAAAGAGCAAAAGGCGAGCGAGGATCAGGGCCGACCAGCATCAGCACGCGGCATCCGCAAAACACCAGGTGCAGTGTTGGCTTGTCTTGTCCTGTCGAGGAGAGACCGGGATCAGGCCCCACGTCGGACAATGTGATGGATGGGGGAGAGAAATTTGGGGCCTTGCGACTTGTTGGACGCGAAGGGCGAGCGAGTGGTAAGCGAATACTCCGTACCAGACTGGATAATGGCCGAAAAGGATTCGAGACGTTTTTTGGTCACTGTGAGGAAGTGATCAGTACTATCCATCAGAGCACAGAGTATGGGTATCGTACGCAGATTTTGGCTGTAAAAGGACGAGAGACCAACGGATAGAAGGGAGGCATTCGTTTGGAAGATTTGAGCGAGCAGGCACAGAAAGGTAGCGCGATAGGGTGGTCTGGTAGGCGGCGCGGAAACGGATGGGCTTAGGGGGGACCCCAGCTCTGGCGAGCCAGGGCCAAGAGTTGAACGAGGATGCGGTGCCAGTCCAGCAACCAGGACAAGGACCGGGATCATGGGTTCGACCAGGACAAGCCGCAAGACAGGAGGCGACATTGGCGGACGGCTGGGGGGTGGCTGTCGACTGTCGAGACTCTGGCCGGTGAATGGTTGGTCGAGGGGATTCGTGAGGGTGCTGCATCGCACTCGGCCTCCGTCCAGTTGGGAAAAAGAGAGACGGCACGACGGGTGCATGGGAACGGAGCTTGGAATGCAACTCGGATGAAGTTGGGCTGAGGAGTACCTTACGGAGTATGGAGGAGAATACCTACCTGTAGGCTGGAGGCAGTCGAGGGGAGATGGTACGTACCGTTTCCTGAAGCATCAGACGGGCAGTCCATTGGACGAACGGGTCTGATTGGATCACGAAGAGGGAGGAGAAAGCTGGAGGGACTCGAGGTGGAAGGAACATCCAATTTTGGATTGAGGTGTGTGGGGAAGGCCCAACCCAGAGTACGTATCCGTACGTACCTCACTGATGACTACTCCATACTGTACGTACTCCATCCGTACAGACACCTCAGGTAACTGCAAATTGGTGCCTGCCTGAAGTGAGGTAACCGGTCCTCGGTCCTTGGTGCACTTTTCTCATAATAATGCATTGCAGCCATCGCATGCATCGCAACGAGCGTTGTGCAACACACCCAGCATCTCTCTCGCCAGGCTCACGCAGCAGCAGTCCTCCTTTCGGACCACAGAGTACGTATGGAGTACAGTGCAAAGGCAAGGGCTCCATTGGCGTGCAGAACTGCGCATGCGATGCTCCTGCGCCCAGTCGAGCAGAGTGGACGGGGTCAACGAATCAGGTGGCGTTGGACGCCTCTTCGGAACTGCAACTTGGGACTTGGGTGTACCGGGGAGCCTTGGACAATGCAACCCGACCATGCACGCCTTAAACCCGCGAGGGTCAAGACTCGACGAGTGAAATAGGAAGCCCTGGTCCCAACCGCCAGTCGCAAACTCGTCGACTTTGAACATTCCCCCGACGCTGCGATATCTCGCCGACAGCCTCTGTATTTGTACCGAATCGCAGTCGACTCCAACGGCCCAGGAAGGGGACCACCTCGTCCTGGAGCCCCTGGACCTGGACATGGACCTGGACCTGGACCGGCAGGAGCGAGTTCCGGAATCGCCACACGTCTATATTTACCTTGCATTTTACTGCGTACTTGCACCACGAGTACGAAGTGTCCCTACGCAACATGACTGTAAAGCTTTGTGTTCTCGGGGAGCAAAAGCATGGACAGCGGAATCAACAACATCTCTTCAAACCTGGAAGTTTGCGGGGACGTAATCGCGCCTTGGGGCCCGCTAAACGACGGGTGCATCCATACCTAGCGGCCGACGATTGGCGCCAGGGGCCATGCCTACACTCTCTTTCCGCGCTATCCTAGTGCTGAAGCTACGAACGCCCGACTGACGCCCCTAAGTACGCCTACGTAGTATAGGTTGTGAGGTTCTCGAGGCTTTGGCGGGTACGTTAACCTCCAGTGACAGATTTAACAAACCTAGAAATCTGTCGAGGCTCGACGGTGCGGCCAGCGGCGGGCAGCACGATGCAGGTCAAGTTACCTACGTACCCACGTACGTTACTGCGTAGTACTCCTCCGTACGCAGCAGAGGAAAGTGACAGAATCAGCATCTGCAACGGCCGGGGGGAGGGGACCTGCCTCTGTTGGAACTTGGGTCCTTGCTGCTGCAACGAAATTGGAACCGGGGCTTGCGCTTCACCTCACCATCCCAGCCGTTCCACGCACCCAAGTCCACATCTCCATCACCCAGACAGACATACTCGTACGCTTCTGGAATACAACTCGGCCGCCCTCAAAGACACTCTGAGCCTGCGGCCTCCACTGCGCCGCCATGCTGATGCCCCTCAGCTGACTGAGCCTCGGGCGAGCCTCTGCTCTGTACGGAGTAGTGTGTATCCTACGGCTACACTATGTCCCAATGTGCATGTTTGCTTGCTGACATTTGCTTTCAGGTCTCGCACTCGCTCATGCTTGTGAGCATTGTGGAGATCGAGATCCTGCTCAGCTTCTCGTCGCTTTCTTTTGCATCCGCCGCAGCCCGCTCGCTACCCAGCTACCTCTGCTGTGCCACGCGAGCGAGTCTCGTCCACGATCGCAGACCACCCCGGCCCATACGTGCCAAAAGACTCACCAACTGATACCTTACGCAGTATGCTATTCGACATACCCGCCGAGGCATTTACAACCAGACATCTCCTTGGGACCGCCTTTTTGCCCCGGAGGACGGGGGCTTTCGTCCCAGCCCGGCCCGCTCCTTGTGCTCTCCTGGCTCCTGCTACGCATCGTCTCCGAGTTCCCACGTCCGTCGCTTTGTCGCCCCCAATTCTCAACGTCCTCCGGCCATCCAGCAAACACGCTTCTCAATCGAGGCATTCACCCGCGCCGCTTGCTCATCCGATCGGCGAATAGCCCACGTTCCCCTGTATTCCTCAATTCCTTCCGTCGGCATGTCGATAGTGCTCAACCTCGTTCATCATCCATTGGTAATGATCTTCATGCCTTGCCGACACCAGCTCTCAGTGTTAACACGAGGCAATCAAGTCGCACTCAGTCAGCGAGCTGCCAGGGACCAGTCTATGGGCTGATGTCAGCGCACGTTGGTCTTTTGTGCACTTTTTTCGAGACCACCGACCGAGGCTCCCTTGGATTGTTCTCGGGTCAATCATTGTCCAGCACGCACCCGCCGCATACAACAAACCATTTCGTTGTCAAACCAATGCGCCGTGGCGGGCACCGGCAGCCACCCGGAACCGATATTGCGGCTGCTTGGAGAATCTCCCTCTCTTGCACGGCCATTGACTTGATTCTGTAGGCCTTCAAGCTGGGCAGCAAGTCTCGCGTCTGTATGACTCTTGTGCACCTCCACGTGTGGCTGGACACACTCCGTACGAATACCTGCCAATCGACGGACCAATCGATGGAGCGGTCATTTGCAGCTCTACAGCTTTGGGCCATTGGTGTGGACGCCGCACAGTAGGTATGTGACGCTGAATCCGGGTTCATGTTTGCTTGTCAAAGGCAAGGGCCGCACGCCCGGGGTGCGACCGGGGTGGGTGGCAGCAAATCGAGTTGGATAAAGTTCAGCATATCGTGCACATCTCCGGATGAGAAGAAGGGCGAACCCCCGGGACCGGTACGGAGTACCTGGATTTCGGGCCACATGTTCGGATGGGACACAGATATGCATGTCTTTTAGACGGTGGTCTCGGTTGTCAACGAGCATCGCCAATCGGCGTCGACACGACCGGCGCGGTGAGACAAGATCAGTCTTTTGCAATTCGTTTTCCATTCTCTGACGTTTCTCTAGTGGCGCTGCTGCATTCCACCACCTGCCGGTCACCTCTCACCCGCGTCCGCCAACCGAGTCGACGGTTCCCATCGCCAACCGCGGGCGATTGCAGCGAGATGCCTCTGTGCTGGCCGTCCAACTCCAGCTGAGCTGCCGTCAAATCAACCTCTATCAACTGCAGGGCTGTCCCTCGGGTGTACTGTACGATTGGGACTTGATGAATTGTTCTTGTGGCGGCCAACAATGGGAATGTGACGACCATACTCGATCCAAGACAAGCGAGCCAAGCAAGTGTATCCGTACCGACACTCAACGCCAGCTGTTGGCTGTTCGCGTATCTTGCCGTACATCTTGGCGGCGAGAGTCGAGGTCCCGGACTCAGACTCGTTCCATTGTGGGGTCATGTTCGGATATATTCACGCCCTCTTGTCGCTGTTCGCACTCGATGTCGACGTCCCCACACACACACCAACCGTCAACCCCGCTCTTGTTGGTTCTTAGCTGTTGGTGATTGTGTTCAACCTCTCGCAGGGGTCCAGCAGCGACGCCACAGGGCTTTCCTCCGCTAAGAACGGGTTAAACGACGGGTCCGTCATCCCGCCAATCTAGCTCTGACAGTGACGCTCGGTCCATACACTGGCGTTATTGTTTTTTTTTTTTTTTTTTCACCTTTCAAGGCACTACTGTATAAGCCTTGCCGTTTCGGCCAGCACTTACTTCCAACGACGGCGTCGATTCAGTCAACTATGCCTCATAGCTACGGCCGTTGCAATGGAGCAGTGTCTCGAACCCCCTCCTTCGCGCCTCTAAAGTCGCTCTCGCTCCATCGCCGTCGACTACGATGAGAAAACACGGCAACGAACGTACGGTACCAGCATGGCGGTACCTTGAGTGCCTGATACGAACCGCCGTTGGACATCATCTATCACATACATCTGCTTAGGCTGCAGCAAACAATAGCCCGCTTACACCAAGACGAGCGGAAAGGCTCCGACCTCTCGTACCTCGGTCCTGTCGTGGCTCATTTCCGCATCTCATCTTTGCACTGTCCGGTGACAGTCGCTCGGGTCCGGACCAGGGCCCTGCCAACGCATGCATTTCCTTACAATGGCAAAATGCCCGCTTCCAACAACCCAGCCGCCACCAATCACCAACTCTGCATCCTACCCTCCACCGCAAAGAGGACCACAACAGGTCAGCGAGGCGCCGCTGGTTATCTGCGTGCCTTGCGTCGCCATCTACGCATCATGGAATTCGCCAATGCCGGTGGTGGGTGCCATAGGCGAGGCCGGGATGCTCTACCGTAATCTCCAACTACCGCCATCACTCGCCGTCCTACGGAGCGGCGTTGATCACGGAATCCGGCCGGCGTTCTCAAAAGGATACGCTCCTCTGTGTGGCTGCAGCCATTTCTCCTAGCGCCCAAGGTGACGGCCTGCAATGCCGATTTGGCTCTGTCACGGCGCATCTGTCAAATCACCTAAAGAACTGGGTTATCAATGATCCTTGACCATCCAATGAGCGCGCGATTCCATTGCATTTTGGCTCGCGGTTGTGCGATGCCCCAGCGTCCGTCGTTGGCAGCCCCCGCATTGCACCCTTGCGGACTCCTGACATCTGAAACGCATAATGGTAGGGCACCGTCGCGTGGCAGTCTTTGATTGCGGACACATGCAAGGAGGTGCAGAATTGTTCTGGAACGTTTCCTGAGACATTCGTTACGTTGTTCGAGCTGGTTGATGGCCTAAATGAAGAAGTCAGGACAATTGACCTTGCTTTTGACGGCGGTCATCTTTGCTTGGTTGTGTACCGTGGTCGCCGCAGACCCGCCGTCTCCCAACCACAGACACGATTCTGACCGTCGATTCAAGGAGGTGAGTCTCTCGAGCTTGGTCTGCTGGCATAGAGTGTGATCATGTGTTGTCCAATGCCTCCGAGTGAGTGACACAATGATTTGCCGCTTATTGCCTACCTTACATGCTTGCCTGTTTCTGCCATTGCTCTTCTCTGCCTACCTCTCTACTCTATGTACTACTGAACAAGAAGTATTGAAGGGATCAACGGTAATAATAGTAAAAGGAAGAGAATGGCACTAATTATGTTTCATATGATTGCTGTCGGATATTTACTGGTCTGACCACATCATATATGGAGGTTGCTTTCTCACAGAGGAAATGCTTTCTTCCTTGTTAGATCATAGGCAACAGCGATTCGCCGTCGCTATATAAAGACTGGAGCCGATGCGAATGTCACGACGCATGCAAGAATGGCGTTGTCGGACGAAGCTTGTTCACTACGGAGGGACAGAACTGTCTCGAGCTTTCTGGCTAGACTACAGTAGTTCACTCTTGAGGCATCAAACCAGGATCCACGTCAGCATCTACACGTTTTTAATGTGCCATTTCTTGTATCAATTTCCTCGGGAGTTCAATTCGGTGCATGATTACAATGTGGGCATCAAGGATGCGTAGTAGATATCGTTCATCCTAAAATATAAGCCCTAGAATGGAAATGGTGAAAGTTCTGTCCGCTGGCCTCAGTTGCATTTATCTAAGTCACGTGAAGAGCGTTGTGCCACTGGATAATTGATGCCATTACGAAAATGACCCGCCCTGCAGTCAGAAAGCCGCTGTAGGGCTACACTAGGAAAAATAGAAGCATATGAGAAGTCCCTCTCTTCTACCATGACGTTTTCGTCACCATCGACAAGCTGCCTGTGGTCCATGTAACATCGTCACGTAGAATCAATAGAGAAAAGAGGAACAAGCTTAGAGCCACAATCGTGACTTGGACGTGGTTAGCGTTTAAACTGCATATATATAAGCGGGCCTTAAGGGGTGAAACAGATGGCCACGTTCGACGATGAACTCAAAGACACAACGGTTCTATATACCTACGGAACCATGTCCTTTGAGATGCGTAATCCCGATACTTGTCCAAACGACGAGACAGCACCGGGAGCAAGACGCAACATGAAGCAGACATACAAATAATAACTAACATAGTTTTGTTGACAATAGTTCTACGTTACTAACTCACACCATCGGCGCACGCCTCCAATCATTACTTTGAGGACGTACGGAGCACTGGATCTTGGCTTCAAGACACCGTCCCGATCGGCCTTGGCAGAGGTTCAACCGGCCATCGACCGACTGTTTTTTAATCTCGAGGTCCCGCGAGCTAGGGCCAAAGAATGGTCGCATGAACAAGACCACTTGGTCTCGGCCTCAAAACACTATCTTTATCAGTCTTGGTTGGGGTTGAACCGCTCGTCCATCAGACGCATATTTGAAAACACAACATAGGAATTCATCGTTTCCGGGTCCCGCTTCAAGTGATTCTGAGAGGCGCTGTCGCTTCTGCAATCATAACGGACCCATGGACCGCGCGACAAGTTGTGAGGCTTTACCAAATTCTGCCCAAAGGATCTGGTCCACGGGAAACCCTTTGACAATACGTACCTCCACTCAGCTGCTGTCTTTAAATCAAGAGCATCAGCGGAGGTGAAGCGGTGGCCAATATGGGCATAATGGAACCAGCTGCGTGTGGTCCTCAGCAGCGGCTTGTTGGCCCGACCGTAGATGAGAATATACGCCCACCCCCATTCATCGAAAGAGGGCTGCTGCGGACAGAGGTCCATGACGTGCTCCTGGGTGTTGCAGAACGGGCAGCCCACCAAATCACCTCTGGCGTCTGGCCAAACGCAATCCAAGAGGTGATGGCCCCGGGCCGAGCAACTGCCACAGATAATGTTGGCGCATTATTCGTTCCTCTGCTGGAAGTCGTAAGGTTCCCTAGAACTCATCCTCCGGAACATGATGTGAGTGTTTGGATCTGGCCTAGACTTCTAGACATGGCGGTTGTTATTATTGGTTTTACCACGGTTATTGTTTCGCGACCGTTTGTTTTTTTGTCTTCTCGATTGCTGAGGATGGGATTTGCTGGCAGGGACAATAGCCATGTCTTCCGGCGACTCTCGGGAAGGCACAGGATCATCCATTCCGAACCTTTGCACAACTTGGCGATCATTGTCTTGGGCAGGGGCCTGCCGAACTGTCTTGGGGCCAGCCGGTCGCGCCACTCGGCGATTGCTGCTCTCGACCTCGTCGGTGGCCTGTCGACCAGTCTCCACTCCAGGACTCACTTCGCTCTTGATCTGTATAGATAAAGCACGACTAGACCTGGCGGTTGATTCCGTCACACCTTGCTTGGGAGAAGGAGAAAGTGAAGGTACCGATTCCAGAGACGTCGGAAGAGGCGGCTCCAGAGGTGGTAGAAGAGACGACTCTAGGGGCAGTGGAGGAGGCGTTCCGGAGGGCGCTGGAGGCACGTCCGAGGACGGTATAGCAGAGATCGCAGGTATTTCTTGGCCTCGTAATTGCGAGGACGGGGGTCCTGGCACGAGGCGGACGACACAAATGAAGACTTCCCCATTGCCGTGCTCCATCATCTTGTCGAGCATTCTGTAGGCCTGCTCGCGTGGCCCTTACGAGGCAAATGCATCGTCCACTATGAAGTCGACGACTGCCTGGTCGGGGCGTTTGTTGGTGACTTGGCTGATGGCATCAGCATCAGCGGTGACTTGAAGACGTCCAAACACGGGTTCGGCTGGGGGGGGAGGATTGCCGGGCCCTTTTGCAATCTTGGGCTTCATCCGAGAGAGAGCGTTCTCGTTTGACTGCGCACCGAAGCGCGTCTTCAGATTCCATGATCCACTGAACCTACGATCAGAATTAGAACCCATTGCGTACCGAATCATACGAGTTTTACTTACCTTCACTTGACAACACAAATTGTGGTGTTTGTGTCAATTGGGAAGGGTGGAATGTGGGGAACGGAATATGGGCTGGGAAGAGGCGACATGGGAAGTGTTGGAGTATGTGGAAGGTGAAAGAGGTGAAGTTAGAGAGTGGGAGAAATGAGAAAATCAGACGGTGGGAGAGTGAAAGTGGGCAGCTGGAAGAATATCTGAATATGGCGGTCTCTTTTCACGTGAGGTGCGTATTCGTCAAGTCAACCAGCTTCTGTAGAGAACACAGTCTTCGAATTCTTGCACACTTGAGGTATGTAATGATGATAAGTGACGCTTCGACTGCCTTAGTTCGTGGCTCCGCCTCATCAACACTTCTCATGCCATTGTCTTGTCTTTCATCGCTGAATTTGACGAGGCAGTTATCTTGAGCTCCTGCTCTTACCTACATATGAGCCGAATGAGCAGTAGGGTGGGAAACTGAGATGATCAGTGGTAGCCGGTTCACTCCCTAGGCACGTGACAGGGAAGGAGAAAGGAGCCACCCTAGCACCTTCCACCTGGTTCGTCGGCTCCCGCAACCTCAAGCTATGCCTCAAGGTTCCCTGACGCCACAGGTGAAGCCTATATAGGTCAGACCAAGTCCATTCCTGTCACCAGCACAGCAGGCGCCCGTCTAGGTCGACGGGTCAGGTCAAACTGTGGCGTGGTGGTGGAATGGTTAATGGTCAACAATCGATTTACGCCAACCAGCCTACTCGACGACAGGCTTAGCGAGTATCCGAGTTCGAGTCCCAGAAAGTGCGCCAGAGATGTAGCCCCCAGTTCAGCACCGGGGGGGTGAACTCTTTTGCTGTTCTGTTGTATGAATAGAATTGACTTTTTCTTTGGGCCATGCTCAACCCGCCTTTTTCCCAGGTCGGCTATATGTAGAGGGATAAACGTAAGTACGGCCGAGGTAACGGTACCACTAAGGACACAAAGATTTAGGAGGCGTACAAGCGTCAGTCAAGCGGGTGGGATTTAGGACAAAGATTTTGAATGTGGGAACGAGAGATTTGTGATGAATTGCAATCTCCTCCCTTTCGAACTAGAACATTTTACCCTCCAGGCTATGATATGGCTTATCAAAAAGAAAAACTCAAAAAACCGAATAGACCAGGGCATTGAACCGACTGAACTTGCCTTATCTGCGCAACGAATACGAATTCATTCGTCACGGCCATCATACGGCAAGCAGGTAGTCAAGAAGACAGGCCTGGTGTCGGCTTGGCACGGTGAAGTGGGGCCGGCAACGGCGGTGGATGTACCCCAGTCAATGGCATCAATAAGGTACGTGGTATTCCCTGCATGAGAACCCGACTCTCTAGGCGCACCGGTCTTGGAGAGCCTGCAGATCGAGCCAATGTTGTTGCGTCGGTAGGAACCCAAGAATGACGCATTAAAATGGTGATGGCTTGTTTCTCGCTTGAAGTAGGTAAGATAGTACGTGCTGCTGCCTGCTTTAGCGCATCTTCTTTGAGCAGGTCGGCGGATCGCATATCCGACCTCACCTCCTATTTCCGAGGGTTGTCAGCCAGAAACCGAGCAACGCTGACATATAGAAAAGACAGACGAACCCTTCTGATTGTTCATTGCTACTGCCTCAAATAGCTTTGTTTGCGCGTTGCTTGATCGTGCTCCCCAGGCTGCAGAAACAGGCGTATCTTCGGCCATCAGTCGACTGCCGTTTGATATCCGGCACGCCATTGCCATTGAATAAGAACACAATCAACACTATTCCTCAACGAACATTATCATGGCGAATCCTGCTCAGCATGACAGTGGTGTAGTCTCGGTGGCACCGAGGTCGGTCGACTTGGAGTTAGCCCCCCTTCCGGACCCGGCACCGGCCGCAACTGCCCCCGCTCCGGTCGGTCCCACCCCGTCAAAGGACTCGGATCCTTTCTTAGTCACCTTTACGCAACCGCATGACGCCGAGAACCCTCTCGACTGGCCCGCGGGTCGGAAATGGATGGTCACCGATGTACTATCGGCCACCGGTTTCAATCGCATCATGGTTTCAACAATCATGGCTCCCGCCCTGACGAACATTGCGGCGGAGCTCGACATGACCTCCACCGAGTCCGCCATGGCGTTGTCCATTTATCTCCTTGCCACCGCATTTGGCCCCCTCGTCATGGGGCCAATGTCTGAGATCTACGGTCGACAGGTCGTGCTCCACGCCTCGAGCGTATGGTTTCTGATATGGAACGTGCTCTGTGGTTTCGCAAACACCAAGGGGACGCTTATTGCCGCTCGCTTTCTGGCGGGCTTCGGCGCCAGTTCCATTTACGCACTCGGGGGTGGAGTCCTGGGCGACATCTGGCGCCCTGAACAGAGAGGCCAGTCTCTGGGGTTCTATCTTCTCATACCCCTGCTGGGTGCGGCCGTTGGTAAGTTGACCCAATTTCGCACCTAACCAAGCTAACCCCTTCTAGGCCCCATCATTGGTGGCTTCATTGCGGCGCGCACGACGTGGCGATGGATGTTCTGGTCCACTTCCATGTTCCAAGCTGTCATGATCTTTGTCTCCTTCTTCAGCTTCCCAGAGTCCTACAGTCCGCTCATCCTACGCCGGCGGGCTGCTCGTCTCCGCAAGGAAACCGGCGAAACGAGATACTACACGTTCAGCGAGAGAATCGACGCTGGCAAGTCCACTTTAGCAGTCATAAGAAACTCCCTGACAAGGCCGCTTCGTCTGCTTCTCTTCCATCCCATTATTCAGGTGTCGGCCGTCCTGTCGGGATTCAACTATGGTATCCTGTATGTCACGCTGTCGACCTTTGCAGACATCTGGAAACAGCAATACGGCCAGTCTGTGGAGATTAGCGGATTGCACTACATCGCCTGCTCTTTTGGAGAGCTTGTCGGGTCTCAATTTGGTGGACTGATACTGGATCGCTTGTATAAACGCCGAGACCAACCTACGCCAGAGTCTCGGGTCATGCTCGCATTCTTTGGTATTGTTCCGGCCTGGCTGGGGACTCTGTTTTACGGCTGGACAGCACAGTATCGCCTCTACTGGCTGATAGTCGATGTCGGAGTTGTCGTCATGATGTTTGGCATGCAGCTTAGTGGAATGCCTAGTGAGTTTGATTTAGTCTATTGGTGACATGACTGACAAGTTATCAGTGACGGCCTACGTGATCGACGCGTACGCAGAGCATACCAGTAGTGCCATGGCAGCGATTCAGTTTGTCAAGAGCTTGACTGCTTTTCTGTTCCCGTTGTTTGCCCCGAGTATGTACCATGCGCTCGGATACGGCTGGGCCAATAGCTTGATGGCCCTTGTCGGCGCAATGCTTGCCGTCCCTCTTCCCATTTTCATCTGGAAGAAGGGGGCCCAGCTGAGAGCCAGGGCGATTTCGACGTACTGAGTGGTATCCCTGTATCGTAGACCTTAGCTATCTACCCAGCCAGATCTTCTACCAAGCTGAGATCTACTCGACCTTGTATACCGCATAGGCCTGATGAGTCACTTTGCCGGAGCTGCTGGTGCCTTTCATGAGTACATCTACGAATGCGACCAAGATTCTGACGAACAAGGCTTTTATGAAGACTTCTACGAGGCGCATTTTGAAGAGGCCGATGTAATCGAGAGTGCCATTCTCGAGTTGGAAGAAATCGCTAGGCGTAGGGCTAATCGGTCGGGAACCCGGGGAAACAGAGATATATAGATTCTGTGTTTCAAAACACGACACCGACAATGATCTATACTAAAGGAAGTTCTCCCGCTTTCCCTCGTGGCTTTCTCACAAGCTGGGAATTCTGCCACGGTCATTCAGCAGGTGATTACCAGGGCATTCGGAACCAGAGGCTGTTGTTCCTCTGTGTGCTGCCACCGAGCGTTTTTTTCGACTTGATCAGCTCGATGCCTTCTATCCCACCTCCTGTTCCCGTCCGGAGGAAATGAGCCTAGCCGAGAGGCGAGAGACCACATGCCTGCTCCGTCTTATACACTATCTATATTTTACGTATTGTTATTCTTGGTATCACACTGCGCTTTCTGAAACGTATTTCACAAGGAATACATAAGAGATAAGAAGCAATTACGGCGATAGTATCAGTGGTAGCAGCAGTAATAGGAATAAAAGGAATAAAGCTAAGGTCGGTTTTGAGCAGTGAACCATCGCGCTGCCTACTAACTTTTCAAGATGCCTTGGAAAGCACAACCTTAGAAGATGCCTTACCCTGCGAACGTACCTACCTCACGTACCTGCCTCATGCACCTTTCTCGCTTGGCCATACCTCTCTTTCCCTAGGTAAGGTATCCACCTACCTTAGGTACCTTACACCAACGCATCAGGTTTTCTCCACTGCAACTTCTCTGGAAAGATTTCAACAATATCAACAAATGAAAAACAAATTACATTCAGCAAGACTTCCCAGGTAAGTGCGACGAATTACAGGTTGATTCAGTCATTCATTCACGTCATAGAATGGCATTCAGCGGCAGCCGCGGCATTGAAGCCAACGACAAGGACGACCAGGAGAGATTCGACATTGTCCTTTCTCCTTACCGCAAGAACAGAAGACTTCTCAGAGTCAAGAGCCTCCCGTTTGCGGAGACCAGGGCCCGCGTCGAGGCTTTCCTCAATTCGAAGCTCGCCAAGCCGGACTCTGCCAGCTTCAACTGGCCTCCCTCGCGATGGAGTCGTGTTTCTCTCGTTCAGAGAGCGCAACGACTGTGTCAGGGCCGATCGAGACCTCAAAGGGGTCATGTACTCAGGACCAAGAGGCACCCGCGAGTTGATCGTCCAATTAGACAGAGGCAGAAACCTCGTAAGTTCAACTCCCTCTACACACAACACGCTTTTCTAACTGCGTATCAGGCTATTCCAGCCGCTGCTAGGCACAGGCTTCGTAATACCAATGCAGCCAACAGCGCTGCGGAAACGCCTGAGCAACAGATGCCCCATCCTGTCTCATCCACGGGTCCCACCGTCGAAATTCCATCTCTTTCCCGAACAACTCAGCGATATGACTTCGACATGGCTCGACGAGCCTTCGACTATATTGAATCTGGACTCGCTGCTCCAACTGAAGCTGAACGCATGCGGCCTATACAAGAGTTCTTTACCAACGAGATGAAGATCAGATCGGAGAGATATGGTAACGATGGTGGTGTGGCCTCAGAGATCTCCGGCGCTGTCGTTTCCCCCATGCCCCTTCTTTCTTCTCCTGCTCCTGCTCGCAAAGCCGATGAGATTTCTTCCTCTGGTGCTCCGACGGTCCTGACGCTCAATCCGCGCCCAGCAAATTCTACTGGCACATCCTCTCGGACAGATTTCCAAACCTGGAAAGCCTTCGTCGGTGCCTTGAGTGATTCAGACGATGATGATGAGAACAATGTTGGCGCCAGACTTGGTTACGACTAAACCGAGGCTTCGATTCCTTTCCCTCGGAAAACTCTCGCAATATCGATCTATACATCGTCGGATTCATTCGCCTGCTATGACGGCTCTGACCTCTAGCTCGTTGCGACGAAGCGTCTCGACTACTCGACAAAAGCCGCTGGGCGAAAGCCTGAACCTCATTTCTTTCTAGGCGAAAGTCTGAAGTTCATCTTCTTGTGAGGCGAAAGCCTGAATTTAAGGTTGAAAATCCTTGGACCGCAGTCCTAAAGTCATCCTGGCGCCCCCAGAGTAATCTACGGGCAGGGTTCCATTCCCTAGCGATTCACTTATGTGCTCTTGTGGAAGGAAACTGCATATGGTTCTCAGACTCACACGAGGAAGGAATGGCGGTGATTGGAGCATGAAAAGAGTGTTTTTATATGGTCTGTGGTCATATCGAGGCCCCTTGATCTTGTCTATGGTCTCTCTGACTATCATCTCGTCTCTGTCATCTATCTTTTGAAATAACGGCTGTCTTTTCTCTGGATAATACTGATGAAAGAATAGGATAGAGAGTCTGAACGACGCTTGATGAAGGTATGTAGGCCTCATCGTCATAAGCCTAGATCTAACGATTCTTCGAATCCAAGGCTTTGCTGCAGCATATCCCGCCATCGTACGCAAATCAGGTCATGACCAACAATGTCAGCCATCCGACCAACAAGAGATGGGACGACTTCCGCCGCCACATCCAACACGTGCCTCCGTGACAGCACTGCGGACCGCCGACGCATGATCAGCCGCAGTCGAATTGACTTTGGTCACTACCAAAGTGCCCAATCTCAGCCACACCGAGCAGAATTCGACGACTGGGTGTTAACACTTTCTCACCGAAACAACTCGGCTGGGCGACTCGACCCAGGCCTTTGTGATGACCTTTGTTGCTGACCAAGGCCGACATCGTTGCCCCTCCCGACAAGCTCGAGCCACCACCACCACCACCTCCTCCTCCTCCTCCTCCTCCTCGCTCTCGCCGAAGACACTCCCATCAAACAACTCTCACGGGGCTTGACAGCCAGATAAATCCCGAAACAGAAGACTTGGGGCCACAAGCTGAATGCACCTTCAAAGTTTCAACCGGCCCAACAAGGCTCGCGTCAGCAGGGAATACTCGCATGCTATGCGCAGACGTGAGGGGGCAGCCTCATCCCGCATAGGCCACACGCTGTCCCGCTGGGGAAACCCGGCCAAACTCCAGACTCAATCGACCAAAAGCAGCCTCGACTCTGACGCCATTCACCTCACTGCCCGCGAGCTGAGTCGGGGGAGACACCACCAAGGGCATCTCGTTTGCGCCGGGCGTCTCATCCGAGCCTGAGGGGCCTGGATCTTCCTGGCACGACACCACCAGACTGACTCTCCACAAGGAGCTGCGTTTGAGGGGAAAGACTAAACGGTGGCGATGGAAAAGTAACTACTGAAAAAAAAGTCGGGGGACGGAAAACACTGCAAGTCTCGTCATCGTCACCCTTCACCGACCACCGACAATGGACCAACCACTCAGCAAGCACATGGCGATCGACAAGCCGACACAGGAAAAGTTCTTTGAGGTGCGGTCGCCCGCCAGCTTCGCGGCGCGGATGTGGTCGCGCAACTACAGCGGCGTGCCCGTCGTGCCGGACGGCGACGTGATCCTCGTCGTAGGACTCGGCGAGGAGACAACAGAGCTGCGCGTAGACTCGCTCATACTGAAGCGGGCGTCAAGGGTGTTTGGCGCGATGCTGGGGCCGCGCTTTTCCGAAGGGCAGAAGCTGCTGGACAGGGGATCAGAACCCGTCAAGATCAGCCTACCGGACGAAGACCCCGAGATCATGGAGCTGATCCTCAACATCCTGCACCACCAGAACTCGCGCGTGTGCCAGATCGCGGCAGCGGACTCGATCCTCGAGGTGGCGGTTGTCGCCGACAAGTACGACTTGATTGACGCGCTCAAATACGCGTCGCAAACCATGCTGCACTACCACGAGCCGTCGATTGACCACTTGACGGTCGGCGACTTGTGGAGGCTAGGCCTGGCGGCGGGCCTGCTCAACGAGGCCAAGTCATTTGAGAAGATCACCCGCATGCTTGTCTGGAACCACACGGTGCCGTACATACAATTGGTGGACGCGGAGGACGTGGTCGACATCGAGTTTGCGCTGCGGATGTGCTGTAAGTCGGGTGCTCTCCCGGGGGTGTTCGGACTAACGAGTGACAGATCTCCTTGAAAAGGAGAGACAGGACCTGAAGACGTCGTTGCTGATGCACCTCTTGCCCATCATCTCGACCGGTAACCAACTCCGGCTCGTCGAGATCAAGGTCGATTCGGTCGAGCACTTTGACGCGTGGCCGGAGCTAATGAAGTTGTTCGGGGCCAGTCTCAAGGAGACGACAAAATTCGCCGAAGGATTGGTCTTGGCGGACCGGAGCCGTCGCGCTGCCGGACCCAGTTCGGACTTTATGAGGCACTTCAAGGCCCGCGGAGGCATACGCCTTGCGGATGCACGGCGTGGGCGAGACTGAGATTGTGCATCGCGGACGGACGCCGTTCTAGAACATGTTGTCCTTTGATCGATCGTCATTTAGCTCCAGCGGGACCAATTGCATGGGTTAGGCAGGGTGACATTGAAATTCGAGTTTATTTTCGACGCCACAACAATTGACAGCCGAGGCTCGCCTATGGTGATTTGCAGCCGCTCGGTCAAAGGCCGTGGGCCGTAAAAACAAGACAGAAACAGTGCGCCTCTGCGGTCTGCCAAGTCTCGAGTTCCGAGGTTGAGTTGATAAGCAAAAGGTGGATCTGTGACGGCACGATCGAATGGGACTCTCGCATGGTCTTTCGAGACCCAGATTTCATGGGCTGACCAGTCCGGAAGAGGGATGCGGCGGTCCAGGCAATCAAGCAATTTTACAGATTTTCGCAAGAGCCGACGGCTCGGGAGCCAAGCAGGCCAGACATGCAGGGGCCCTCCCGGACGCCACAACTGCGTGCACTTTGTAGATTCGGTCCCGATGGGTACGGAGTAGTGGGCCGGCTCCGAATGCCTTTACTTTGTAAACAAGAATAAGGTGTCAAAGGCTAAATCAGAAAAAGCCCTGCTTGTGCAAGTCAACAGCGTCGATGTATCCGTACGACTGACTACTGTCGATGGTCGCTCGGCCGATGCACCGAATGCTCGAATCGACTGGTTGGTTCGCAACCTCTTATCACCGGGTGTCCAGATCTGGGAGGTCCGTACAGCGTAGCGCCAACAGACGATAAGCCCCTGGTTAGTAGTTCATCCGTCATGTCGTTTGCTGCACAGCTGCACCTGCATCGTATGTTGGTGGGATGCCGTTCGGACGGCGTTGGTGGTCGACGATGATGAATCCCTTGCCATGAATCAGTCAAACATATTAAAAGAGTCGGCCTCCTCGCAGTAGTCCGACTGCGAGTGCGTGCGCGTTCGTTTGGGGGTGAGACGAAGTTGAGCAAAGTCCGAAATGTCCTGTCTCAAGGCTTTGTAATGAGAAAATAGGGGGACAGACTGATACCTAGTCGAAGGGCTCGAGGCCAATGGTCTCGAAATCCGTTGGAGTTGGAAGGGCTGCACCTCGGCACGGTGGCCAGGTCCGCCGACATCCCGGTTGGTGGGTCCCCGTTAGCGAGCCGCCAGCCCATGAAATATCGTCTCTGGCACGTTGCCTCGGCGAACTAGGCCCGGTGTGGCCGTCCCTTGGTTTCGCTAAACCACGTCATTCCGCCGTGCATGCGGCGCAAGCGGGTACGTACCTGAAAGAGAAAAAAAAAACGGACGGAGGAAGGAAGAAAAGCTCTGCTCCGATCAAAGTAGAGATCCACTCTGCAGACCTCAGCTTGCATTCGTCCATTCCCTGCACAGCAAACCACCTGCCATCGCATATCTGACAAAGCCAAATCGTGCGGCTCCTGGCCTAATCCCGTCTTGTGACTCCTGTCAGATCCCGCGCCAAGTATTGTATCAGACTGCCTGCAAAGCGTTCGATCCTAACCCGAGCCGGAGATAAGTGACCCTCCGCTGGTTCGTCCCCGTCCTCTACGACCGACTCCGTGCGGTTTAGTCATGGGAAATGGGCGTGCGGAAGACAAACCGCCCGGGTGGGCTTGCACCGGTGGATCAACACCACCCCCCTGGCCGATGGAGATGGGTGTGTGTGTTGATACGGGCACCGACGAAGGGGATGGAAATCTCATTGGAAATCCCCACCCAAGGCCAAGTCCGGCCTACGCAGTATATAGACGATGGGCCGTCCCAAGTCTCCGGGTTACGGATCAGATCTCTCGCTCATCCGACCTAGACTTCAGCGCCTATCGTAGCATTAACGACGATCGTCATCCAAGCACAGTCCAACACTAGATAAGCTTAATACCCACGAGGACAGCCAGCCAGCCGCCAGTCACCATGGCGTCGGCGCCGCACTCATCATCATCGTCCATCACAGCGACCGAGGCCGATGTCGAGGCCCAGAAGCCCGTGAACAAGGCCAACTACTTTCACCTCCTCTTCGACCAGGCCGGCGTGACAGAGGCCGTCCTCCAACGGAAATACCCCGGACAAGGCACCCACGAGGCTCCCTTTGTCGTTGACTTCCTCCCCGAGGATGCCCACAACCCCCAGACCTTCCCCAAGTGGAAGAAGTGGACTTACACCATCGAGCAGGCCATCGCCACCCTGGCCGTTGCCTTTGTGAGCACGGCCTTCTCTGGAGGTATCGCAGAGGTCATTCGCGACTTCAAGGTGTCGACCGAAATTGGTATCCTGGGCGTCTCCCTCTTCGTTGTTGGCTTTGCCGTCGGTCCTCTCATGTGGGCACCCCTTTCTGAGCTGTACGGACGTCAGTATCTCTTCATCGCCACCTACATCGCCCTCACTGCCTTCAACGCCGGTGCCGCCGGTGCGCAAAACATTGAGACGCTCATTATCCTGCGCTTCTTCGCCGGCACCTTTGGTGCTTCGCCCATGACCAACGCTGGCGGTGTTATTGCCGACATGTTCAACGCCCAAGAGCGCGGCCTGGCCACGGCCATCTTTGCTGCCGCTCCTTTCCTCGGCCCGTCTATTGGTATGCTCCTTTGCCCGAGTCTGTAAGTCCCAGCTAACCATCATAGGCCCCATTGTTGGTGGTTTCCTCGGCGTCGCGGAAGGCTGGCGCTGGATCGAGGGCCTCATGGCCATCTTCACCGGTGTCGTCCTCATCGTCGTCGCCCTGACCGTCCCCGAGACGTACGCGCCCGTCCTCCTCCGCCGCCGCGCCGATAAGCTCGCCAAGATCACGGGCAAGAACTACATTTCAAAGTACGAGGCCCACGCGCCCCGCAAGACCGCCGTCGAGCAGTTCAAGGTCGCCCTCTCCCGCCCCTGGATCCTCCTCTTCAGGGAGCCCATCGTCCTCTTGACCTCCATCTACATGGCCATCGTCTACGGCACCCTCTACATGCTCTTCGCCGCCTTCCCCATCGTCTTCCAGCGCGGCCGCGGCTGGTCCCCTGGCGTCGGCGGCCTGGCCTTCCTCGGTGTCGCCGTCGGCATGGTCTTTGCCGTCGTCTACACCGGCTTCGACAGCCGCCGCTACCTCAAGGTCTCTGCCGCCCACGGCGGCTTCGCCCCGCCCGAGGCCCGTCTCCCGCCATCCATGGTCGGAGCCTGCCTCCTTCCCATCGGCCTCTTCTGGTTCGCCTGGACCAACGGCCCCGAGATCCACTGGGTCGTCTCCATCATCGCCTCGGGCTTCTTCGCCGCGGGTCTCGTCCTCGTCTTCCTCAGCTTGCTCAACTACCTCGTCGACTCGTACGTCATCTTCGCCGCCTCCGTCCTGGCCGCCAACTCGGTCATGCGGTCCCTCTTCGGCGCCGCCTTCCCCCTCTTCACTACGCAAATGTACGAGAACCTCGGCATCCACTGGGCCTCGTCCATCCCGGCCTTCCTCGCCCTCGCCTGTCTGCCGGTCCCCTTCCTCTTTTACAAGTTCGGTCCCGCCATCCGCGCAAAGTGCGCCTTCGCCGCCGAGGCCGCTGAAGTGCTGGAGCGCATGCGCAAGACGCACGAGGAGGTCAACGAGGACGACGCCATGGCCGAGGAGCGGGCGCACGAGAAGGAGCACAAGCGCAGCAAGTCCGTCTCTGCCAGCGACGGCGGTGTTTTGTCCGATGACGAGCGGACCGTCCAGGGTGAGCCTGAGACTCCCAAGGCTTAACTTAGACGACGCATAGATGACATTTCTTCACTACGTATCTGGAGATGGGAGCATGGATAGACAATGATACCCGGAGCGGCACGTGTCACGGCATGATGTTAGCATTTGCAAGGAGTTTTGGGCAGTTTTCAGAGCATACTAGACAGGCCACAGAAGCCGACATTAGATACCAGATAGACCCCCCCTCATCTGTATAATCATAGACTAATAGATCAACACTCAAAGTCAATCGCACTACAATTCATCCCGCTCCCGCCCGCCAATCTTGATCTTCAGCCCCGGAATGTTCTCCACCTTGAGATTATGCGAGCTCAGAACCCTCACGTTACTCTTCACCGACCCAGCCTTGTCGTCCACAGCCTCCTGCCCCGGCGGCGTCCACGGCTTGACCCGTCCCTGCCACACGTCCAGCCCCCACCCCTGCAGCTCGCGCGGCGTAAAAGCCTTGCCCTTGGGGTACGGGTAGATCCTCCCGTTAGAGACCTGGTGGACCGCGCCGACGGGGTACGCGTCTTCGGCGACGTCGGGGCCGAGGCCGAGCTTGGCGGGGAGGTCGGGGAAGCGGTTCGGGTCGACTGTGACGGGTGTCAGGGAGGCGTACTGCTTCTTTGCAAAGTCGTGGAGGTCTGCGCGGATGGAGGCGCGGGTTTGCGGGGAGGGCGAGAAGATGTAGACGATTGGCCAGGCGCGCTGTGTTTCGTCAGTATCCTTTATAGCTGCTTCTGCTGTGACAAGGCAAGACATACGTCGACGAATCGCTGGTGGTTCAAGGGCGTCAGCTCCGCGATGACGGGCCTGGACACTTCCAGGACCCAGCCCTCGAGCCCGTCTGCCGCGCTCCGCGTGTGCGTGCTCTCGTCGTCGCGTTTGCGGCACACGACCTTGGCGTCCGCGGATGTTGGCGTATCGACGATGCCAAAGGTGAACTCGGCCCAGTGCTTCTGCGCTACGGCCTCAAAGGCCCGCCGGAGCGCCGGCTCATCTGGACCGAGGTGAGCTACACAGACAAAAACGTCGCTATTGCCAAAGGACTCGGCTTCCTCGATTGAGACGCTGGAGACTTGAGGCCGTCGGGCGCGGTCGCTGAAACGTAGAATTCTAGTGGTAGGCGTGTTAGCTTTGCTGCGAGGAGGGCTGCAGACTCACTCGTCGCTCGTTATAGGACCTAGGTAGTCAACCGCCGGCCCGCCGTCGCGCAAGAGCTTGACGGAGGGGTAGGCGGTCGCTGGCGCGTCTGCGCAGTGGTCCTCGGCGGCGTCCTCGATCCAGGCCATGGGGAGGTTGGCTGAGGATTGCGCTGCTTCCCACTCTGCCGTTAGGTGCCTGGAGATCTCTGGAGACTGCAATCAACCTTTTGGTCAGCAATATGACCACACCCTATCGAGTTCATCCTACCTTGGCACCTACAACTGTCAGCTCATGTCTACTTTATCCGTCGGATGTACTCACAGGCAATCAACCTCATCTCGTTGCTGAGCGGGACCTGGTCCTGCCCCGCCGCCCCAGGTACCAATGGCACCAGGAGCATCCACAGAAAGCGATGAGAAACCATTTTCTCTTTCCTTGGTGGTTTTTGGAAGGATGGGAGGAAGAGATTGATGCAATGGAAAGGGTGGGATGTCGTCGGTTACCCCTGTCTGATGGGCGACAGGGATTGACTCCTGGACAAGGGCCAGGCTTGTTCAAGGTCACATTGCAGGGAACCACGACTTTACAGTACTTTTTCCATTATTACAAGCAAGCCAGCATCAGCTATGAAGAGAAACCCGATCCAAACGCCATTCCCAACATACAGTAAACAACGGTGATTCAACATTCCTGCCCTTGTTCCCTTTGTCGTTCGGTCTCTGCCGCATGCCATGCCAATGCGGAAATAACGGTATTCGTAACAATGTGAAAGTGTTCACCAAGCGTAGCCCGGTGCACCTACGAGAGGACGTATTCGTTGGAAATCTCGGCAATGTGAAGCCAAATGTCCCGTAGCACGGGCCAGAGTCTCTCCCCGTACAAGTGATGAAATCCGTCGACAATGTCATCCCTGACAACAGCCATCTGGAGGGATTCTTGGTTGAGAACAGCCTCAAAGGACCACTCTCCGCTTCCGAGTGGGAGTTTGGGGAACTTTAGATGGCAAAAGTGCTGCAGATAGGTTAGCTTCTCCCAGAGCGACCGATCTTTGCCTTGGCGGAGGAAGATGGTCCGCAACAGACTCGGGTCAACCATGCTCGCCACCTCGCAAAGCTGAAGGGTGAATGAGTGTCGATGCCCTTCCATATTCGCTAGAACTTGGCATTAGCAAAAGCACGACGTAAGTGTGGAAAGGGGAAAAGTCCCACCGATGACTTTGCTCTCCTCATAGTGGAACAGGTGGTCCTCTTCCAAGAATTGAGTCTCGCGGAGGGGGTAGAAGGAGCCTGCGTGCCGCCAGACCAAGATGTTGAATGCAAGATGGCCAATATCCTGGTTGTCACAGCACAATGGTTGTGCTGCGAGGACAATGTACCATAACTCTTGATTGGTCATGGCAGTGCTGGCATGCAGTAAAGCGTTCAGCTCTCTTCTGACTCTGTCCATTATGAAGTGCTGCCGGGCAAGATAGCACAGAGCGAGGATGTCCTGAAAGCTTCTTCGTGGACCATACGGCAGGAACCCAGAATGCAGAATCGTCATGAGATCGCTTATAAACTCGGGCCGGGCGTGAATTGCCCAAGCTCGCTGGTTCGGATAGTTTTTGAATTCTTGTGCCCAGCGAACCGACGCGTCGGAGAGCATCTTCATGCGGACCTGAAATACCTGGGTCTTCATCGGACACCGTCCAGTGACCTTGAGAAGAGCGTAGCCATCCGGTACCGCATTCATATCCAAAGGTTCATCGGGAGACAGCTTAAAGTTCACAGCTCTCGAAAGGTTGTCGGTCCCGCTAAATTTCAGAAACTTGATAGATGGAAAACCAGAAGGTTCGGGCAGACGTATGGATGGCAGTGGGGAGGCCTTCCAGTCATCGAATGTTTTTGTGCTGAACTCAAATGGGTCCTTGTGATGAACCAATGGCTGTGAGCCCACGATAGGTTTGCTGAAGACATTAGCTTGGTGCGTCCATACTTTTTTAATTCGTACTTACTCGGCAATCTGAATTTGAGAAGCCATGGCTGAGTGAGGAGCAAGCGCTTGGGCTGTAGGAAAGATACAAGCTGGGAAGGCGGGATTGTTTCCAGGTCGCCGGTGTGCAATGGATAATGGGAGGGTTGATGGTCGAGCAAATGGCCCCGGTCGTCAAGGTAGGAGGATGTGAAGGCAGAACCAGGGAAGGCTGAGCGGGCGACGAGATAGAGTCGAGCGAGATGAAGCCAAAGTTGGAGGTGCCAGGTACCAAAGTAGAGCGAGGTGGAGGGGAGAAGTTGGAAAGGGCTGAACGAGGCAGCAGGGAAGAGCTCAGGGCAAATATCCCGAGGCTGAGAGAAACAAAAGGCACGCAAGTTGGAAAGACGAAGCAGGGAAGGAAGGCTCAAGGCAAAAGTGTTGCCGGGAAGGGCTGAGGACCCGCTTTCCTGGCGATAGATGTTGTTCCTCGAGAAGGAAGGAGCAGGTCAAAGTACACACATCGTGGCAGGTACGGAGGAGAGCCCGAGTAGACTGACAAATTATTCTGTTACAAGCACCACCTCTCTTCCATAGAGCCGACCTAGTCAAACCCGTTCCATTCGTCCTCGCCGCTGCCTTCATCGCTTGCGTCCTCACTCTCCTCTTCACTTGAGTTCTCCTGCTCGGGCGCGCTTACATTCGCCGTCTCCAGTACCACAGGCTTCCCTGTGCTCTTGAGCACCGGCATCCCAGCCATGTCCCTCACGATCCGTCCTTCGTCGTCTCTCAAGTACGGTCCATCCCCGTCGACCGTCTCCTCCCTCGCAAACGCGGCAACGAAGAATCCCATCACGCCGTGACCGTCGCCCTTGTACGTACGAATACACGCTTCCGCTACAGTCTCGTCACCTCCAGCCGCCTCGGGCAGTCCACGGACGGGCCACTCCCGCATACCGCGGACCTGCTTCTGCCTCGGTAGGATCGTCCAGCCACGCTCTTTCGCAACCTTTGACGCGAGGGCCTTGATCACCACGCCCTCGTTCTCCTCTGCGTGTATCGAGCAGGTGGAGTAGGTAATCTTCTTGGCACCGGGAAACGTCATGGCGTGAAGCAGAAGCGTCAATTGGAAGCCGGCTAACGCGTCCAGACGCTTTTGCAGCTCCTGCTCCGACTGAACCTCGACCGTGTTGCCGTCATCATCGACCATCACCGCACCGGGCTCCTCCTTTTCGTCCCGCTTGCGCTTGCGGTCGTCCTGTTTGGACGGCTTTACCTTTGCGTTCTTGGATCCAGGCGGGCCAGGGACCTCCGGCAGATGCAGTTCTGGCATCGAATCACGCCCTACGATACCGCTGCCAGAGCAGCTGGGGTCCAGCAGCAGGGCTCCGACGTCTTTGTATGTGTCAGACGTGGGATCAACGTCTAAAAAGTCCTGACCAGGACCAATCTTGGTCATGCCTCGACTGCCAGCAATCCTGACCATCTTCTCCAGCGTCTGGGCCCTCTTAGAGTCCCTCTCGAACGCAAAGATGGTCTGTTTCTGGGCTCCCTGCTCCGGTTCATGCGACTTGACAATCGCTGCGAGATGCGTTGTCTTATTCCCCGGCGCCGCGCACGAATCGATAACGTCGCCGTTTTCCGAGTGCGGGTCCAGAAGGTATGCTGGAAAGCAGGACGCCTTGTCCTGAAGAATGATCTCGCCCTTGAGATAAGCCTGCGTCTTGGTCACATCCGTGCCAGGCGATGCCGCGAGGAGGTAGGGGATGTGAGTATCGATAAAGATGGCCTTGCCCGTTGCCTGCGTCACGGCCTCGATGGAAAGCGCTCTCTCGTACCCCTTGAAAGTGGTCTCAAGCTGGTCCTCCACAGTACTCTTGAGCACGTTCACCCTGATCCATCGAGGGTGTCTTCCTTCAGGGTCCGCGTTGGCGTTGACGTCAGCCCGCAGCAGTTCCAACGACGACACCTTCCTCCTCAGGCGGGCGCGCGTAAGCTCAGAAGTTAATCTCGCCTTGTGCCGCTCAATGGTTGTCCTGAGACCGTGAGACTGGGGCAGCGCGATACCCTTCTTGGCCAGGAGGAAGTCGTGCACCAGCAGTAGCGCCAGCAAAGGTGTAAGCTGCAGAGTCAGCGACAGTCAACGACTTGACGATGCAGCAGACTCACCTTGCGCTCATGGCGCAGAATGTCCGCCGCCTCGATGACCTCCTTCAAGATGGCACTCCACTTGCACGTCTCCAGTGCGAGGGCGTAGACCTGCGCTGGCGGCGACTTGAGACCTTTTTTGCCAAAGACGCGACTCTTTAAGCTGCCGCCGTGGTCGGAGCTCGCCGAAAGAATGTCGGCAGCCTCGTGATATAGCGACATAGTGCCGGCTGTCCGTGTATATTGACGTTGGTCACCGCAGCCGTGTCTCGGTGTGCGGCTGTGGGGTATCGGCGGATGAGGTGAAGAGAAATTTCTACAGTGGACACCGCTGGCTCGGAGAATTTGTGGGGACCGGCGGCAGTGGACGGGCGTGTTGATTGCTTGGCCAATTGAGACTGTCACACACGCACCCGTCTCGATGTGTCCCTTGCTTCGCTGAGAAATGGTCACTGCGACTTGTTAAATTAACTTTTGAGTCGGCATCTGGATCATGGGTTTGGCAATGCAATTGAATGAGGTGGACTTGTTTCGCGTGGACGAAATAACCTTAATTTGACGTCCAGGCGCCAATTTGGTGGGCCTTACACCTCTCACACGGCTTACTTGTCAGTGGTGGTAACATGGTTGGCTCAATTGTCTATCTGACTACCAAGCAAATAACCACCTCTCAAAACCCCTTCCCAAATGCGGTGCCTCGTCTGCAGAGACCCATGTAAGAATCGAAATGTATGTGTTCCAAGGTACAAACAAGAAGCGGAATCCAGTTGCCCTTGAGCTTGCTCGTGTTCCCCAAGCTTTGCTTTCCCCCGGTTCAAAGGTGTGTATGTAACTGATCATCATCATCGTCAAAAAAAAAGAAGAAATTGGCGCGAATGCTCGCGCACGAAAATGGGGATGCTTTTCCAAACAGCCCCGCCGAGTCCCAGTGTCCAAACAAAACAACGTCTCAAACTCCCATCCCAGCCACGGCCCTAGAATGTCTAACGAAGAAAAGTTTGATACAAGCGCAACCAAAACGCTGGCGGCGCGCATAGGTTCGATGGACAACCCGCTTACTTGCGGTTGCTGCGGTGGCGGTGGAGGTGCTCGTGTTCGTGGACGTGGCGACGGGCCTTGTAGTTGTCGGTAGAGCCGACGGGGGTCGCAGCGGCCTTGGACTCCTCTGCGGGAGAGGTGACGGTGACGGTCTTGTAGACGGTCCTGGTCTTGCGGGAGCACCCAGATGCCGAGGGCTTGGGCGGGACTGCGTTGGTGGTAGGGACGGCGGCAGCGGCAGACGTCTCGGCAGCCTTGGTGCTGGCCTTCTCAGGGGCGACCTGAATGGGAAGCTCGGAAGAAACCACGGCGGATGTCTTGGGGACTTCCTCCTGGCTGACGTAGCCAGAGGTGGCGGGCTTGCTGGCAGAAGGCTGGACGGCGGAGGGCTTTGCAGAAGCAGCCGTCGCCGCAGACGAGGCAGAGGAACCAGAAGGGTTGGCAACAGAACCACTGCCGCTACCGCTGCCGCTGCTGCTGCTGCCACCGCTGACGACAGCACCGAAGGAGGTGAGGAGGTTGTTGCCGGGAAGCTTGCTCATGAGACCATCGACAACTTCGTCAACGGGAGAGGAGATTGTGCAGTCCTTGTTGGTGTTGAGGCCCTTGAGGAGACCAGGGCACTTGTCCATACCAGAAGAGCCGGCGTTGCAGTTGTCAATGATTTGCTGGAGAACGGTCTCATCCCAAGCAGCGATGAAGTCGGCGTGGAGACTGTAACCAGTGGCATCACCGTTGGAGAGGACAAAGGGCTGCGAGCCCTGGCCGGGAGTCCAGCGGCTGGCAAACTTGGGAGTGTCCCAGTAAACCTCGAAGAACATGTGAGGAACGTGGATCCATCCGGCAGGGCAGTTCTTGCGGCGGCTGTTCGACGCACCCTTGTTCGAGGGCCAGGCCATGCTCTCGTAGTCAGTCAGGGCAGCGTTGGGGTTGTAGCAGGAAGGCATGTGGACATCGGCACGGAGGGGAGAAGCGTAGCCGTCGCAGTTCTGGTCGGGGAAGCCGACTCCGGAGCCGTCATTGTTGGGATCGACGATGCCGGCGGTAGTGCCGTCAGAGTTGGCAGGGTACGATGGCGGGTTGTAGTTGGATCTGGGGCAAGTCCACTGAACAGGCTGGATGGGGCCGTCCGCCGGCTCGAGGTTCTCCTTGCCTCCAGACGACGGGGCAACGCGAGCGGAGGAATTACCGCTAAAGATCTGCAGGCCCTTGGGGAAGGCCTTGATCTCATCATCGGTGCCATCGAAGCTAGGCGGTGTTAATAGAGGATTTGGTCCAGAAGACAGCTATACTCACAAGTAGTAGACGTTGACATAGAAAACATCGACAGCCTCAAACTCCTTGGTCTTGGGGTCCTGGAAGTAAAGAGACGGGAACCAGTAGGCGCTGTTGTCGCCGTTGATCATGGCGTTGGTGCACTTGGACTGGGATAGAGTCTCGCCAGTGGCCGACATGCCAAAGTTGCTTCCTCCCATGACGCCGTGAACGTGGGTCGCGGGCTTTCCGGGGTTGATGATGGGATCAACACGGGTCTTGACGAGCTGCTTGTTGTTGAAGCGGAGGACGGCAAAGGTTCTGTCATCGGACTTGGAGCCGGCCGAGGCGGCGCCCAGAAGGGCAGCCAGAGTAGTGGCAGCGGAGAACTTCATGGTGGTTGATTGTACGGTTGGGTGATTGTGCGGTGTGAGACGGGTATCAAAGTGGTCGCTGGGACTCTTGCTGGTTGAGTAGGGACTGTATGGGTGCTGATACCGGAGCACCTGGTGAAGTGAAGGGTGTATATCGCGACTCGGTGAGTGACGAAAGTGGTGAGTGAGTGGAATGAGACAGGTCAAAGAGGGCTGTCTAGAAGTTGTAATGAGAGGACGTGCTCAGCAAGCTGTAGCGTTTTGTGGGTTGAAAAGGAATGATGAAAGGAGAGAATAAAATGCCCAGCAAGTGTCGACAGGGAAAAGTGGTGGAATGGAGAAGGTGAGGTCGGGGTGTAGGTCCACGGTGGAGGATGGAAGAAGTGGGAAGTAATATATTCATCGGACGGCAGCTGGGACCCAGACCCGGGCGGGACGGGGGGCACACCGTGAGTGGCAGTTGGCAGGCTACGGCGAGGTACCTTGGATCTGGGAAGGGGGCCCGGGTGGTAGGAAGGCGCTAGCAGGGTGGCCAGGGACGCTCAGCCGTGACGCCATGGAGTGTTCGTGGTAGTGCCATCTGGCGATGAAGTACTCGAGCACAGGGCGATAGCAGTAAATTTACATAAGGTAGGTTGAGCGTAGTGAGGAGGGTCGCACCTCGACAACGTGGCAGTCAGAATCAAGATGAAAGCACCTTGTGTTAAGATGTATGCCCAAGCCATGTACTCGAGAGATGGGATGGACAGGGACATGCTTAATTTCTGGTAACCTCCTGACTGCTATTTTCGAGTACATGTTCGACACAACCAAGGAATTGTCCGCATTATTTCTAAAGGGAAAAAGAACAGACAAGAGCCCAGACGAATCGCCCAGAGTACATTACACCACTACAAAAAGCTGAGAAGAAACGAAACGGCGGCAAGCTGACGACCCCTTGGACCCCCGCTCATCTGATGTCTGCACTCACGCACTGGATAGGAGACGGGAGTGCACAAAAGTTGAGATGGTGTGCTGCACGGCTGGTTCCTGCATGGTGCATAAGCGTGGCCGACTTCCCATTGGCTGAATGTGATGTCCAACTGCCAAAATTGTGCAGGCCCGAGGTCAATTGTCGCTCAGTGTGACGCCGGAGCTGTTCTTAGCACGAAGAAAGGCACGCTGACTCGCCCCTGGTTTCTGGGCTTCTTCTCTCGCTAGCGTTTGTGCCGCGCGACGTGGCGTCCAGTCAGCTTTCACCGAGACCACACCACGGAAACTGCCAGCCGGCCTCCTGGGCAAAGGGCTTCAAGTGCCCGTTTGTGGCGCTGCAAAAGTTTGATTTGGCGGATCAGAGGCGTCCGCCCGTTTGGAAACACATAGCTGCCAGCACCACCAGGCTCCAGCGACTATCGACGCTCAGGGCTTGGTGGCGGTTGGCACACACACGGGTCGATGCTATATTTCAGGGGCAAAGGGCGTCGTCCATGATCCGGCCCATGACGTCCTGGCAGCCTGTCAAGTGTCTGCCTCTTGCAAGCTCTTGGTCCGTCGTGCATGTCGTGAGGTGTTGATGACGGTGCACATTGCCATGGACTTGAATAAGCAATGCACGCTGCCGATGATTCGGGAATGCTGCCAGAGGACACAAGAAACAGATATTGGCAGCGCCTTCCACAAAACCTCGCAACGTCCCGTCTGTCGTTGCTGCCTCGATGTCTTTGGGAAGGGACAACAGAAGGTTTGCGGTTTACCTTCTTTCCCGCTAACCCTATTCGGGCAAGCGTTATCCAGATGTTTATCCCACTTGCGCAGGGGCTCGCCCTTTCCAAATTGCAGGGTTTGAGACTTTTTCCCAAGAAGCAACGGGCAGGAAGTTGGAGACGGACAAGATAGGAAACCACATCTGAGTCGGCACTTGAGACTTTTTTCGAAAGGCTGGAAAGAGTGAACACAGTTCCAACCGCATCGAGCTTCAACAACATCACCTGCGAGACATCAAACCTGTCATTCGGGAATCTCGGGGTCATTCTTCCAACTGCATCACCCTTCGAACAATCCCTTTCTTGCCTCCCGACGGAATGGCCATGTCTCTCTCTGTTGTCTTGACTCTGGCTTCCTTGGCCTTGGCCGGGCAAAAGAGTTTTCTAGCTGCATAACTTATGCGTCCAACTCGTCGTTCCCCACCTCCATCCCTCGCAAAACGTCTGTTCTGGTCGCGCGACGCTCGATTGGGGCACAATTCCCAGGCTCAAACCACCGAACAATGCCATTCATCCTCCAGCGAGAATGAAGGCGATCTAATAGTCGCTCGCCATTCCAATCCCTCGGTTCCATCCGGTCCAAGAAAGTTGTGACACAATCGGTCTAGCAGAGTCCAGACCTCTGTCGATACCCCCAAAGGCTGGGGATCGGCCATGACAGATCACAGGCCTGCCCACGAGCTCTGGACTCTATACTCTGGAGGTGTCGACTGGGTCAGCGGCTGGTGGGGTTTCGAAACGCCTGATCCTGGCGCTCATCCCATGTTATCCCGTGTGTTCGAGAAAACAATCACGGACTGCCCGGCAAATCATGTCCTCCCGAGTCGGCGGCGCTCCTGCGGGGAGATTGACTGCTGCCTCCGGCTGCAACCTGGCATCAGTCCCTGGCCATCACACCGGCACTCAATTGCGACGAAAATTTCGCATGGCTGGAGTCGACCAGCGCTAGAATAATGCCAAAATTCATGTCTCCGGCAACCTGCTTGAGGGCTGTTCCGATGTGCAGTATGCACCACCACCACTTCGCGCATTGCATCTATAGTCCCCCGAGAACACACATGACACCTCACTGGTGGTTCTTGGAGTGGCTGGGAACTGCGTGATGCGTCTCCGACCGGGCGAGAATCTAGCTGTAGCTTTTGGCTTCAAGAGGCTTTACCGGAATGACGAAACATCGCCGTTCCGAAGGCTTATTTTTGTGCGCACGCGCGGGATAATTCCACACAAAGATTCCTCTTTTGGTCTTCTGTCTTGAATTGCAACAGTCTCACTTCGACACGCGCCAGGTTGTCTTCAGCCAGCCCCGGAAACAGTTGGATCAGAGACATACTCAATTTTCTTCGAGCAGTATCGCCGATGTATCTTGGAATAACAACGGCCTTGTCTGGGCAAGGGCTCACCGACAAATCCACCGTCGTCAACACCGCCTCTCTTCGTCTCCAAATTGAACGATGCCCGCTTCCTACCAAGTTGACCAGCCCTGGGTTCACAACGTTTGCATGGGGTGGTACCGCGCCACGGTGGCTCTCGTCGGGGTCTCAAAGTGCCAAGAGGTGGAAAACCAGGTTGCGAGTAAGTCCCAAGGAAACAGGCGAGATGACTGACGGTCGCGCCTGGCGATACGAATTCTCTTGACATAATAGCCCATATAGCAACAAGCTCTCTTTTCTGGGCAGAGGGGCTCTCTCCCTTTGCGTCCTGGGAGTCCCCCTGAGCCGCCGTCTGGCGGGAAATCGGCTGGCGTGCGCTTCCAAAACGCCCGGTCTCCAATGGTGGTCCGCTCAATTAGACAATCGGCAAACGTGAGCCAGAAGCCGCTACTGGGCAGATTGAGGATGAAACAAATTGTCTCTCGACGCCGTGGCTACAAAGCATTCAAGGCAGCGAGGCCATCACTGGCATTTCTGCGCGCCATTAACACGGACATGCTTAGCGAGCTTATCTATTGTGCGTTCTAGTCGCAATTTGCAACGCACCTCTCGGCGACCGGCAGTTTGTCATGCACTCTGAGCTTTCTTATTCCTATTGGAAGTTGCGATGGTCCTTCCTAGCCAAAATGTCAGTCTGTCCCCGTCTGCACCGCAGGGACAGATCGACGGCGCCGCACCATCCCGAGCCGTACCAAGGCCAGACGGTGCCATCTCATCTCTGGCAAAGTGTCGCCTCTCCATTACTAACCCAAGCTCTCAGGCAAGCACAGCCGAAAAGATCAACGTGGCTTGCTGCTCCCCGGGACGATGACGGAATTACACCCGTCCCGTGTCCAAACCTCTTGTGAGGGATTTCTCTCAAATCGCCATCCGAGCCCGACGCCCCTTTGTGAAATCAATCTGCTCCCGTCCCTGCGTGTGCGGCCTCACTAGCACGTCACCATCAATCGCCTAGCTCCATTGTTTACCTCCCTTGGCAATCCCTTTCCCCCGGGCGCATCTTGCGAGTAAGCTCGTGCGTGCGCGCCTGTTTGGCCATGTGCCGCGTTCCCGGCCTCCGTTGATAAGGGCTTGCGTCGGGGCTAGGGCTGGCAGTCACGGTCCCGCGGGGATTACTGGTATCGACGGGTAGTTGCGTAAGGCCTCGGAGGGGTTGCGCAGGTATTAGTGTTGCCCAGTTTGGCGGGAAAGGTTGTCCCGTCGCAAGACTTTATCCGTCTAGGTTGCAGGTTGAAGTCTTGAGTTGTTGTGTCCCTCGAGAGTGTCTTGGTCCGGGAACGAATCGTTTGGCAGAGACGACTCTGTCATGTTCTGGCCCGTGACACTGTGGCTTTGGCCTCCGGATAGTTGTGGCCACGGTGACAGACTCTAGATGTGCCGCATAGTATACATCTGACAACCTCACATGGCACAAACCGAGCTATGTAAGATGGCCCTTCGCATAGCTTGTATATGCGTGACGCTGCCCCTCACTCGACGACCTAGCAAGCTGTGAATGTGCTTTGTTATACACTATCTAGATATACATTTCGTCCTGAAGCACATCGTGTGGAAAGAAACATCCGCCACTATATCAGCTGCACGCTTTGCGCAGCCATATGAGCACCCAACCCGAGACAGATTCAGCGATTAATCCAACCCGACCCTCCACCGGGACGGTGCCTCTCTACTCATCGGCAGACGGCATCGTCATACCCCTCTCTATCGGTCATCCTCGTGCGGCCAGCAAGCGGCAACCTCGAGGTCGCCATTCTGGTCCACCTCGAAGCTGAGGGCGACGGTACCGCCAAACTCGAGCGGGCTGCCCTCCCACACAACAATGTCGCTGCTCTTGGGCAGGCCGAGAATG